CACACACACACACACACACACACACACACACACACACACACACACTTACTTTGTATTGTGTCTAATGTGTGTAATGTGTGCAAAGACTGTAATAGGTTTAAAAGTTCTTATCTAGCATTAACATTTGTGTAGAACATTTTTTACCAGCTGATTACTGGAGGGAAGTGTTGGCTGACGTCTGAGTTCTGTTTAGTCAGGGATAATTCAGAACCTTTAGTGTACAAGCGCGGTAAAGAGCAAACAAATGAACTCAAATTTCTCAAAGATCAAGCCTTTCAACAATACTCATAGGGACATTATATACTCCAGTTTAAAAAGTCTGTACAAATAAACTCAAGCAGTTTGTGATAATTTATTTTTTTTAAAAGTATAGTCTTTCAAATAGTCCACGCATCATATTTTTAGCAGTATAATATTCGAATGTATTTAAATGTATTTACAGACTTCTTTTTTCTTTACCTGCAAGGATAATATATCAAAATAACATGTTGCTTACAGTCTTCTTGCTTCCTGGCCTGATTAATTGTGTTAAGTTAAAACAATACAACCCTGACATTCAGGTCATTCTCCTAAAATATGTGTTGGGACAGGAACAAATTGTTAGGGTCCCTGGGTCGTCAACCCAGTGTTTTGTGTTTTTGGTTCTTTGATTTTGTTTATTTCATTCTATTCTAGCTTTGTCTTATGGGTTATAGGATTATTTTTAGTTTAGGTTCTCTGTGTGGGTATTGTTAGAGTTTTAGTATTCTGGTTTTCTCTCTGTGATCCATAGTTGCTGTCTCCCCTTCTGCTGTATCCCCGTGTCAAGTCTGCATCTCTGTGTTATTTTTCCTGTTTTACTTTGAAAGTCTGCGTCTCGTGTTAATGTATCAGGTTTTGCTTCCTTGGTCTCGTTAGCCCTGATTTGCCCCAGCTGTGTTTCCCTCCTGTTTCCCATTCCCTGATTGCTCCCTCTGTGTATTTAAGCCTTGTGTTTCTCTGAGTCAGTGTTGTGATCTACCCACATTTCATGCTGTTTGTTCTAGTCATCTGTCTGCCAGTTCAGGTTATTGTTATTTTCAGTTTAGTGTTTGTATTCTCAGTTTTGGCAGTTCTCTGTTTACCATCTAGCAATAAATCTGAGTTTGAGTTTGCTTTCTTCCTCCGAGTGTCTGCACATTGGATCCTCCTTGCCATCACTACTGCCTGCACACAGCCTCAACAGACACAAATAATGCCATGATAATGATATGAATGGTCTCCATGTTGTTTAGATCTATACACAGCGTTGAAACTTATCTCCAGGTGTTAAAAGTCCATATATGTTCTTTAAAAAATAGCATTACTGAAGCTATCTGAAGCTTCAAATCAGGATTATAGTTGATACATTCAGAAAAAAAGACTTTTTGAGGCTATCTTGGGAGTAACTGGAAGAATAATTTCTTTTAACAGTGTTCAAAAGTGAGCAGTCATTTCTAGTTTTTGAATCTTTGTGTTTTCATAGTTTTGATACAAATGTTATGTTATGTTGTTTTTTATGCAAAAACAATCTGAAAGTAACATTGCATTTTCACACAGTATTATGAACGTTAGTAATATCTATACAAACATTTTTAGATCACCAATTTTCCCCTTGCAGATTCTTAAAAAATACCAAACATATGATTAGCTTGTAGGATTGGCATGAAAAGGATTCCTATAAGAATTCAGTAAGAATTCACCAAATGGGGGCAGTGATAAGTAATGACTTTAATGGAAGCAAGATGGTATGTGCTATCCAAAGACTCTATAGGTTAAAGAGTCAGGAAATGATCTCACCCTGTTTGTCCATTTATTATTCTCAAATAGTTTAACATATGACACAGAAGTAAGCTCACTAGTCAACCTCAGTTTGCTTCACTGTTAAAGATTCTGTAAAAGTGTTTTTTAGCTTCTTAAAAACACTTTTTGCAACCAACTTTTTTTAAATGGAACATTGAAAAATTGGAAGATTTTCTAACAGTCACACTTAAACTAAATGGAAAACATTTTTCTAATCACATACCAGATAAAGACATTTGGTATTTTTAATGCTTCATAGTCATTGCCCCCTTTTCTGCTCCACAAGGGACCCGTGTGTTTAAGACGGCATGTGTTCTGCAGCACACCTCCTTAGTTCAAAAACTAAACACATCTTCCCTCAAATTATCTACCATGGCAACGGCAATTATACTGTAAAAGCAACAACACTGCAAGAAAATAAGCAAACAAGACCCTGCAATTTTGGTTCAGTATGAAAGTAAGAAGAGTGGACATGCAAGTGGAAAACATCTTACCTTTCTGAGCCAGGCAAAATGTTTGTAGAAATCAATATCATACTCCATTCTGCAGGCCCATTACACTGCAGGTCTGACTTTTAATGTTAAAAACTGAAAGAATTCAGCCCCTGGTAGAAACCAGAACACAAAATCCATAGCGTTTTGAAAGAATGGCTCTTTACTGTGCTGCACTCTCTATCTCCTACTTTTATAGAGCCTCCACATTGCAGTTGCAGAGTGTGCAGAGAGGATCTAAGTCCGTGTGGTTTGGAGTCTGGGCTGCCTGAGACTTTTAGAGCTGAGCTGAATAAGTCAAACTATGCCAGTTGGCTGTACTCCCTTTCTTTCTTCTTTTCCCTTTTTGTACTTCTTTTTAACTGCCCCTCTTTCTTTCTCCTGTTTCTCTAACACATGTACTCAAACTGCTACAGTGTTTACCACAACTCAGCATTTCTTCTGCATCTCATGTATGATCATTCATCTTTTTCTGCCCTGACTTCCTTTCTCTGGACTTCTCTCTGCTTGTCTCCAGTATTCTCTTGCACTGTCTTAAGTACCTTCTAGCCTAGCTAATTTTGTGGGGCTTCCTAAAGGGGAACAGGGGAGAGGAAACTTTTTGCCACACATGCTTGTCAGATGTGGTGGAGAGAAAGAAGTCAGTACAGGCAAAGCAGAAGGGGAGGGGGGCACTATAGGACACTGAAGGGGAACAAGAGCATAAAGTTTACAATATCGAACTTGAGCAGAAGCATAGTAAAAGAGGGCAAAAACTGTTGAAGGACAACTCAGACAACTACTGCAGAAAAAGAAATGAAGGAGATAAGGGAGAATTAAAAAAGAAAACAACAACCAAAAAACAGTGAGCAGCTGCTTGTGCTTCAACCAGTAGCTCTGGATCTCATTAACAGTGCCATTTGCTAAAGATCCTGCTTCCAGCTCACTACTTCTACACAGACAGGAAAAAGCCCTCCAGGTACTGATGGCCAGGATCAAAGACAGCCAAATCATGCAGCTAATAAAATCCATGTTCTTTGTAGCGCTAGTCCATGCCAAAATATTAGTATATTTATCAATTCAGTTCTCTTGTTGTACTAGAATTAGACATTAGCTTGAAAATATTTCATACTGAGCTATGGATTTGCATGCTAGGTGAGGTGTTATATAACTGTTATAGATGGGTGACAAACCTGGGAATGAGTACTCACCCCACCTCTTCCCAACCATTTTAATATAATATCTGCAGTATCATCAGATACTTGTTTCCTGAGAGCATCCTGTCCTTCCTCATTCCCCTGCCCCTCCAGCACTGCCCTGAGGGCCTCAGTCAGCTGAAGAGCCTTGAGGGCAGGATCCAAGGGTGGGGGAAGGGTCAACTGTTGACTGCATTCTGGAGACTGATAATCTTTGACATCTAACTGCATACGAGCACTGAACAGGCCTTCCCCCATTTTCCCTAGGGACACATGAAATCAATACTGTAACATTCACACACCTTAATTATTTAACCATCCTACTAACTTCTTGGGTATTTGTCTTAGTACACAACTGATTAAGTCAAAGTTTCTAGGAAGCGCAAGTAAGAATAGTTCCAGAAATGACCTCTTGAGGGCACTAATATGCTCTCATGCAGCTTGCTGAATGTAAATAGCATCATACTTTGACTGTGGCTTCTTAAGTCCACAAATTAGAGGTTCAGCATGTAGTAGCAGTTAGTGTAATCACCATGTCTAAACTGCAGAAAGTTGCTTTTCACATATAATATCTGAAGTTAAATTAAAGGGCAATAATACATCAGGACATATGGCGGACATGGCCAGATGTATACTTTGTAAATATTGGTTTCTGCTGACAGAGTGTGATTATTAGTTATTGCACGTGAAATGGTTTTTTGCTGAAGCATGATAATGATCAAGCCGCCACCTCTATTAATAGAGCCTTGTTTTTTGACCCTTTGCAACAGCACCACTATGGCTGTGACAAAGAGCAGCGACTCAAATGTATCACCTCTGCTAGAAAACACAGTTGGGAAGAAGCCAAAATGTAAGTCGTGGTGTTTGAATTTAGTATGCTGTGAGATTTTCAAACCGATGAGAAATATTAAAATTGCATAAGTATGAGAAAGAATTAGGAAGACAATTGCAAAAAGAGGCAAAGCTGTTATCTCATAAAAACTAGAACTGTTTTCACTTTCTCTAAACTTGTCTCTCATGCTCTACAAATGCTTTAAAACTCTTTTATCTTTATCTTTAACTTGTTTTTCTTCTTACTATGCAAAGATGTGAAGAACTCACACTCAAATCATGTGAATATATCTGGTTTTATGCAAGCCTGCAATTACAAACTGGGAAGTCTTTTGAATTTCAGATAACATGAGCAGGGACCTCTTACCAGCAATAATGTCATCCATTTGCTCCAGGGCAGCCTCCAACATATGGCTGGCATTCGATGCCATGGCAACACGCCGTCTTATAAAGAAGCAGGAGATCCTCACTCACTGGTATGACTGGAATGACTGAGGGTGAGAGATGATCAGCAGTATGGCAGAATGCTGCAGACTACTCCTCTTCCTTGTTGCACTTAAATCTTTTTACAGCAAACAGCTGAGTGACTTCCAAGTAAATAACCTCCTGAATGTGGCTTTTGGGTTTAAACTTTCCTCTCATTTTGTGACCAGAGCCTTACCCATTGTCAGTTCTGTTATCCAGAAAAAGGCAGAGCTCATATTTAGAATAGTTTGTTGCTCTGTTTTCAGTGTTTGTTTGTGTATATTTTTGCTCTACAAAAGATATCTGTGAATTATTTAAATCGTGCTATAAAAACTATAAAATCACCAATATTTGAATAAGTTCAAATTCAAACAGGTTTTTTTTTTTTTTTTAGCCACAGCTGAGCACATCAGCAATTTGGATCATAGTGACTAGTTTTGATTGACATTAATAACAGACGATATGATTCAGAATTACACACATGGCCCAATGAAGCCAGTGAATCTGGAAAAAGCAGCAGCTGAGTGAGCAATTGCACCATTTGGAGTTTCAGTTTTGGTTATATTTCATTTAACTATTTGATGTCAGAGAGTTTTGACAGTCCCATGGGATATCTGACATTTAGTATTATGATTTATTGCCGCTCTCATCTAGCAAACCAGCATCAACAGCACAAGCCTGTTAAAAATATGTGCTCATAACCACATATATTATGATGAAGTGGCAGGTTTTACTGGGGTAATGACCATCTCACACCCAAAGAAAACATGACTTTGTGCAGGAATGCTATTGCATGTGCATATGACCCAATTTCATATTTTAAAATAATGTTCCTTTGTTTCAGTTTTACTAAACTCTATGAATAACAATGTTAAAGTTAAGTGCGCTAAGTTATTTATGAGCCTCTTACAGCTGAATTACACTGATTACATATATTGCAGCGTTTATTTTATTATATTTTGTTTGATATTGCCACAAATCATGTTGTTCTTCCTTAGCTATTTTTTGTCTATGGAGGGTAACTACATCATTACCACCATAATTATATGTGATATAATCTAGCTTATTCAGATACTACGATTTACTCACTACCTGCCGTTCATATTTTATTTCTGTTCTTAAACTGTGCAATGTTATATACAAAATGGCCAACAGGGTGCATCACTAGGCAAGGAAAATATCTTTATATGGAGACATTCAGCACTTAAAAATGAAAAGAAAACGCTGAAATAACAAATCAAATTGAATTGGTTGAATTGAAGAGTTGTTGCACTGAATGTAACACAAATTGTCTCCTGTGGAACCAGCTCCCAGTCTGGGTTCAGGAGACAGACACTTTCTATACTTTTGAGAATATTTTCAAAGCTTACCCTGTGATGAAGCTTATTGTGATGTCTGGATTAGTTGACCCTGTTATGCTGCTATAGGCTTCTTGGGGAGTTTCTATAATGCACTGAGCATTTGTTTGCCACTCTTGTCTTTTCACTCTTGGTGCTTTTATATACCATAATTGCATGTCTTTGACTTTTGTGTCACTCCTGCAGTCTGTAGTCTGTTGTCCATGGTCTGTGTATGCTCGCTTCTTTTTCCACTCTCTCCCCAACAAAGCAGATGGCTACCCCTCCCTGAGCCTGGTTCTGCTGGAGTTCTTCTTTCCCACCATCTTTCCTCATGGGATCATTGGATCACTGGAGTTCTTTCTTAAATATTGTTGGAGGTTTACTTTAAAATATAAAACAGATAGCTATTGTTGTGAACTGGTGCTGTATAAATAAAATTAAACTGATTGCAAGTATTCTGAAATTTGTGTATTTTATCATTTGCGATACAAAAATGCCCTATTCAGCTCACAGACAAACCTCTATTCGTCTTACCACCTAATTAATCTCTTCATCTATCTTGAGAAAACACATGCCCACTAAACAGTTGTTTTATCTCTTTTACTCACATTGTAGGACTACATAGTTTCTAAGTTCCCAGACCTCAGGTAGATATTAGATGCTTGGAGATTTGAAAAACTTGCCTTAGGTTGCAAAACCTAACAAACCATGTTAATGCCCCTGGTCAAAAACACCATCCAAGTCCACAAAGAAATACAGAAATAAGGAACAAATTGAAATTTAAGTTATTTTATTTTTTCACACAGATCTTAATGATTTCTACAATCACACTGTTATTTCTTATGAATCTGTTATGAAGGCAAAGACCTAAAAGTAATTTGTTTCATGATTTTGAATGGGCATCAAGACCTTGCCAAATAATAGAAAGCTTTCTTTTGGAGGACAAAGTAATCACTTGCTGAGCTTTGAAGTATTATCATGTAATTTCACAGCAAATTAAATTTCTCATTTCTAAACCTTCTAGTTTTCTGCATCTTAACTTTTTTGTAGGGTATGCAAACAGAATGTAAAGCTATAGCTAAGGTATGAAATTGTGTCCATTTTCTACAATGCATTTCTACAAATGATAGATCATTTTGTATTTTCTGTGTAGATTTAAAAACAATTAATTTCAGATTTCATTGATGATAAACGATTATTGGTTTCTATGTGCCTTAACAGGTCAGTTGTATAAGAAACCCTGGAATATACCGATTGTTTATTCCCAGCTTTGGTAACAAGAACACCGGAATGGGTTTTCAATAATTGCTTCACAGAAATTTGACTTGAGTCCAAATTTTATGCTTAATTTGCCAGTTATTAGACAATAACAAAGAGATGCAGAGGAGCTGCAGCACTGAATTTGTGCTGTGGACTCACTTAACCAAGTGAAAAACACCAGTCAAGTTTCAGTTTCTCTTTCACAGCACAGAGAATTGATTGCCTTAAAGATCAACTACAAAGCCGTAGTCAGCTTGTGGGGTTTCATTGAGCAGGTCTTAACCCAGGAGATGAGCACAATTATTACACTGAGGAAGATGGGAAATTCACAGAATAAAAGCTTGTACTAGAGCTTTGTTTATACGTATCCATCCCAGTCTTAAAACACAAACAGAACACAAAACTAAAAATGTTTCCTGAGGGCGAGATCATGACATTTTCTCTCAGTAACCCAAACTTCTATCTTTCAGGTTTATTGTTTTATCATCTCTCTGTTCAGTTGTTCCATATTTCTCCCTTTATGTTAATTACTTACCAGCAATGCAGTTGTGATCAAAAAGGATTAAGGAGCAGAAACTATGATAACTTACTAGATGTAGGTTGCATATATGGCTGTGCTATTTTATAATGTTTTACCCCACTTTTGTTATCAATCCCAATATTTCTGCAGTATTTTGTCTGTCTTATTTTTTCTCAGTGATTTAAAAATACAAATTATGTACATGTGATTTCAAATTAAAATGAAGTTTTAATCCTACAATCAATCCTGGACTCCAAGCATCCCGAATCAGGACAGACTGAGAAACCTACTGCTCCAAATCAGCTGTGGTGTGACTCTGAGGAAGAGGTTTCCAAACCTGGTGACAAATCTGTGCAAATTCAGCAGTGTGTAAGAAAGAGGGGAGGAAAGATGAGTCAGGAAGCACCAGATAAGAAATGTCAAGGAGAACAGCTGGAGAATAGATGGACTGTTCTGTCTTCTTAAGGGACTGGTAGGTTTAAAAGTTTCAAAAAACTAGTTATCTATCCATAATCCATTTTTTAGTTATTTTTAAAGTAATGTCATGAAACTGATATTTTATCAGTTGCAGTGGTAGAATAAGCACTCGGGTCCTATTTAAAAGCTTCAAGTATAAAGGGCACTGAAAAGTTGTACATTTAAACTGGTGGAAAAGTGTGTAAATGTCATTAACAACATGCACTTGAAAAAAAAGTTGTCAAAAAAAGTTATCATTCTGATCTTGTTAGTTGTTAAGTTTTTCTTGTCTTCCTATATTCACCATGCTTAGTCTGTGTTTCTGTGATGTCTCCTGCATTTAGTTAGTTTTGTCTTTGTGTTTACTTTGGCCTACCAAGCTCATGTATCGTAGCCTCTGTCTCAGTGCTAGTTTCCTGTCTTATTTTCATAGTCTCTTGTTCTGTGTGTGTTGTGTGTGCCTAAGTGTTTATCTTGTGTATTACCTGCTTAGATTACTTTTGAACCCTGCTTTTTTTCAGTCAACTGAATTTGTGGCCTTATATAATATAGGTTTGTTCAAGTCTATTAAATCCTGTCCTGGAGTCTGAATTTTGGGTCCAGATTTTCCACAACTATGACAATACACTTAAAATTTCTTAAAATGTGACAAAAGGCTGGTAATTTAAAGTTTTGTAAATTATATAATTTGACTTCAAATCTCTTTTTTCCTATCGTATGTTATTTCCTATGTATAAAAAAATCATAACCTTTTCATATATTTTAAAGTAAAATTTCTAAAAAAAACTCCAACAATAGAAACTAAAAAATGTGTAATAACTTTGTTGCCTTTTATAAAACATGGGTTTTTATTTATGCCTTATCTTTGCCTCAAAGCTTTAGATCCCTTACCCATACTGTCAGTGATGTGAAACATCCGCTTGCCTCCTCTAAACTATTACCATATGCACAGCATTGTTATTCAACTATGTTCACAAAACAAGTTCAAATGACCTTTTATTCCACAAGCCATCAAATTTCTGAACGTGAGTGACACATACGTTGCCAAATTGGTGAAAATCCTCCCTAAGATCCAAGGAGAGTGAAAATCTCTGCACATTGTGTGCCTGTCTTTTTATGTTGATGTGCTTGTTTTTATGTGGTTGTATGAATGTCAGGTGACTTCTCTTGCAAGCCAAATTCCCTACTGGGGACAAATAAATGTATCTGTCTTTCTGTACTCAAAAATACAGTGTATCCATATTCTGAATGCATTTCTATCTTCACCTTGAGATCTTATGGTAACACAGGTTTTTATTAAAGGGTTAATGTGTTTCCTTTGTCCTCAAACAAAATACACAGTTTAAATGTTTGAATTTACTTTTGTTCTTGTAAATTCACATAAAATCAGGAGTTTCTCAAGATTTTGATGTCTGAGTACCAGTTTAGGGAGCCAGAATACGATTC